TGGGGGGGGGGGGGGGGGGGGGGGGGCTCTGAGCAGTGCAGTGTCCCCTGCCCCTCTTTGTAGCCAGACAGGAGTCGGAACCCCCCCCCCCGCTGTGCGGGCCCCAAGAGCAGGTACTCACTGGAGCTGTTGGCTGATCTCCGACTGCTGGAGCTGATCCACCTTCTCCTGGGCGTTGCTGCCCAGTTGAGTGAAGTAGTTCCACACCACATCCGCCACCTGGTCGGCACTGACATCCGCCTGGGCCCCTGGAGGGACGACGAGGGAAGGGAGTCCAGTGTGCAGCCCAAACCCCCCACCCCAGCAGAAGAACTCCGCTCCCGGACGGGTGACTGCGCTGCCTCTCCTGAGAGACGTCTCCCGTGAGTCTCTTTGTGGTCTGATCTCCACAGCCCCCCCTCCCGATGACCGCGGCACCCCCTCAGCCAGGCCGGCAGGGCGACGTGCACCCGAGGCCTCCCAGAAGATGGGCCACCGGGGGTCACAAAGGACAGGCTGGGCCCAGCAGCGCCCGGGCGCCGGGGTAGGCAGGAGACACACACACACCTGGCCTCATCTCCCTCCCACCTCCCCAGCTGAAGCCCACCTTCTGGCCACCTCTTTGAGGCTTCTTAAACAATGCCCGGTCCAACGGTTGGGTCAGCTGAGTCAAGCAAAACCTGCTCCTAAGAGCCAGGGCTCTTTTTATATATATAAAAAAGAGGGGCCGGAATTCTCAAGAGGGAAATGAAGTATTCAGGCTGTACACTGACAACTCATGAACTCATAAACATTGTTAAAAGAATTTGTCAGAGAGTTTCTGGAACTCCGTTCTGGCGCATTCCCCCAGAAAAAAAAGCCCCGCTAATAGCTAACCTCGTGGGTGAGTTTCTCAAGACAACTTTAGCCCACTTGCTGCTCACGAGAGCTTTGCTAAACGGGACCTGGGAGAGAGTTCGGACCCCGGCTCTCACAACTTAGACCTTCATAAATCACTTGATCAGAGCTACGTGGCAATTCGGCAGAAGCTTCTTCACTCTCATTCTGCTCTCTGCCGGCAAATGAAGCCGGAAACGGCACCTCGGCACTTGACAGTATTGGGGAATAAATGCTTTGGTCCACTGCCAGACCTTCAAGGACACGCGTTCAGTTATGCATGCATTTAGAAGTATCCCCCTAGTTCTATCCCCTGCTCTGAGTCAGGGAGCAGAAGAGGAGGACTGAACCCCCGAGCTCTGTGCTTGGATCCCCAAAGGAACTCACCTGCAATGGCCAAGAGGCTGACGATCAAGGCAGCTGCCTTCAGTTCCATCCTGTTGTGGGGATTGCTTCCGGACTGGGAAAGTGCTGTGGAAGAGAAGAAGGACCCCCAGTGAGATCGACGGATGGGGCCGGCTCTGCTCCAGCCCCCCCTTTGGCCTGCCCCACCCCCACTGGACACAGGAAGTTGCCTTCTCTCAACTGAGCCAGACCTGGGTGTGCGAGGCCCGCCTTGTTCCCCTGACTGGCAGAGGCCCTCCCCGTCACCCACGGCAGATGGGAAGGCAGACGGTGCTGGGACCTGGGTGGGGCCCAGACCTGGGTGTGCGAGGCCCGCCTTGTCCTCTGACTGGCAGAGGCCCTCCCTGTCACCCACGGCAGATGGGATGGCGGACGGTGCTGGGACCTGGGTGGGGTGGGGGACCCACCCGATACTTGGCCACGGAGGCCCTCCTTTGCATCACTTCAAGCAATGCAAGACTAAAGGGGCTTCCGCATCTCCCACCTGCCCTGCTGCCTAGCATGCCTCCACCACCCAAGGCGTGCAGCGACTCCTGGACTCTGTGGCCCGGCCCGGCCCGGCCCCACCCCCTTGCAGCAGACAGCTCACCTGGGCCTCTGGTGCTCTGGTGCTGCTCCTCCGCTCAGCCCCTCGGTATTTATAGGACCGCGATGGACTCTCCTCCCGCTTCCACGCAGACAGGCGGTGACACATCCTGAGCACTTGGACTTTAGCAGCTGCAGACGGACGTGGAGGGCCAGGATGCTGACCAGGGTGAGGACTTATCTGCTGGAGGAGGAGGGGAACAACGGCTGGGGGGGGCTCCCACCACCTGTCAAACACCACTTTTAGGGGCTGGTGGGGGTGGGACGGGCGAAGGGAGGCAGGGGAGAGCCCTTCAGAACAGAGTCCAAGATGGTCCCCACCACCACCACCAGGCAGTGTGTTCCCACATCCACCCTGACAAGAACTCCAAAGTAGGTTGCACACCGTCTTGTGTTACTTCGGCTGTTCTTCCAGAAGGGTTTTTCACACACACAACTGTGGGGCTGACAGTGGAACGTGCAGGAGGTTGGGAGGTGGAGCGTGCCCTCTCTGGCTGCGTTGAGCCCCGACACCTTCCTTGGCAGGACTAATCACGTCCTGTCGCTCATAAGAACATAAGAGAAGCCAATGTTGGATCAGGCCAAAGGCCCATCCAGTCCAACACTCTGTGTCACACAGTGGCCAGAAATACCAGTGCCATCAGGAGGTCCACCAGTGGGGCCAGGACATTAGAAGCCCTCCCACTGTTGCCCCCCCCCCCAAACACCAAGATGACAGAGCATCACTTGCCCCAGAGCCCCTATCTATACCTCGTGGCTAATAGCCACTGATGGCTCCATATGCTTATCTAATTCCCTTTTGAAGCCGTCCATGCTTGTAGCCGCCACCACTTCCTGTGGCAGTGAATTCCAAGTGTTAATCACTCTTTGGGTGAAGAAGTACTTCCTTTTATCCGTTCTAACCCGACCGCTCAGCAATTTCATGGAGTGCCCACGACTTCTTTTATTGTGAGAAAGGGAGAAAAGTACCTCTTTCTCTACCTGCTCTTTCCCATGCATAGTCTTATAAACCTCGATCATGTCACCCCTCAGTCGTCGTTTCTCCAAGCTAAAGAGCCCTAAGCGCTTTAACCTTTCCTCATAGGGAAAGTGTTCCAACCCTTTTATCATTCGAGTTGCCCTTTTCTGCACTTTTTCCAAAGCTATAATATCCTTTTTAAGGCGTGGTGACCAGAAAGTTCCCTGGAAGGTACGGGATGTTAATGGGGGGAGCTTTCGGGGGAGGCCTGGCCGGGTCTGAAACCAGCAGCTGTCCTTGATGGCCTCCTCCCCACACGTGATCCGCCTGGCATCCCACCCTCTGGGGAAGGAGGCGGAGGGGGCTGCTTGTTCTCAGGGAGTCCACATCGTGGTGAAATGTCCACTCCCCACAACTCTGCAAACACGACTTGACATAAGCAGATACCACAGCCATGTCTTTTCCCCCATGTGCCATATGCACCGATCAACTCACGTTGATTGTGGGATTTGTGTTCTGCAAAGTCCCTCAACTCGAACGTACTTGCGCATTGTAACAAGCAGGGAGATTTGAGACATAGAAGAAGAGATTGGAATTGTACCCCGCCCTTCACTACCCAAAGGTGTCGCAGAGCGGCTTACAAACTCCTTTCCCTTCCCCTCCCCACAACAGACACCCTGTGAGGTAAGGCGGGGCTGAGAGAGCTCTGACAGAAACTGCTCTTTTCCAAGGACAGCTCTTGTCAGAACTATGGCTTGCCCAAGGTCATCCAGCAGCTGCGAGTGGAGGAGTGGGCGAATCAAACCCGGTTCTCCCAGATTAGAGTCCGTGCGCTTAACCACCACTCCCAACTGGCTCATAATTGTCCTTTGCCATCAGTCAGTTCTGAACGCTGACATTAGCACCTTTCGGACTGCTTTTCTGCTCTCGGCCAAGTGGCACCAGCAACAGGAGAAGGATAAACGCAGCCTTTGAGCAGCGCGACCTTTGGCCCTCCCTCCCCTGTGCTGGCCGGCCAGGTGACGGCAGCAGCCAAAGTGCCTCCCCAGCCGTCAGCAGAATCACCCCGCACATCACGTCACCCAGGTCCATCGCTCTTCTGGGTGTGGCAAAGCCATCCCTGCCCCCAACAGACCGAGGACGGTGCCCACTGAGGAGGGGAGGCGGTGCTCACGATGGCCTCTGCAGAACGGCCGTGCTCATCTCACAGGCGGCACACCCTGGGATGTGTGGCACAGGCCTCTGAGCAGGTACCGGTGGCTCCTCCGCTCCCCACCTGCAAGTCCCCAGAGGGCTGGGCTGGCAGGCGAGCTGGACTGGATCCCCCACGCTCCCCTGGGCTTAGGAACCGGCCAGGAGGCCGCTGCAGCTGCTCCGTGTGTTATCTTGGGACCACAGTCCAAGGCAAGGGGGATTTGCGGGGCAGAATCCAGAGGAGGTGACTGCCGGGGGGGTGGGCAGGGCCACTTTGCTCCTTCAGGCAGCTACAGAGGATCCTGTACCCTGCCTTAGATGTGGCACTGCCTTTTCTCGGGACACCCCTGGCTCCTGCAATGTGTGTGGGGGGGTGGGGGGTGCCTGGATGGGAGCCCAGCCCCCTCCCCCCCCCCGCGCTGTAAGCCAGGACTGCCCATTCACCGGCTCTCTTCACCCAGTGGACTCACCCACAGAGGGGAGGGAGCGACAGAACTGAAGACTCCAGTGGGCTCCAGCAAGTGAGTCACGTGACAGGAGGAGGCCAACATTCACACAGCAGCAATAGAGCCCCTGCCACACGTCCCACGTCCCCCCAAACTGACACGAGAGGCTTCAGCCAAGTGCCCTCCATGCAAGACCCTTTCAGGCATCCCAGCTTCAAAAAGCATTTAACGGGCAGGGAGGGAGCTGGGAGCATCTTCGGAAGAAAAGGGGCGCTCGCTGGCCCCTCCTGGATTCTTCTCCTGCAGGGGGAGGGATCAGGGAATTTGAGACTGATTGTGTTTTGTATCCCTTTTTAAAGGAAAAAATATCGGACAGTTCCTCCCAAGGAGCAGGCGTCTTTTAATTTCATGGCTGCAGTCACAGTCTGCGGTGATCTGGGATCCCAGGAACGTGAAGTCTGTCACTACTTCCACGACTTCCCCTTCTATTTGCCAAGGAGTGATGGGGCCGGATGCCATGATCTTAGTTTTTTTGATGTTGAGCTTCAAGCCCACTTTTGCGCTCTCCTCTTTTACTCTGAGCAAGAGGCTCTTTAGATCCTTTTCACTTTCAGCCATTAGAGTGGTATCATCTGCATATCTGAGGTTGTTGATCTTTTCCCCAGCAATCTTAATTCCCGCTTGTGATTCATCCAGGCCAGCATTTCGCATGATGTACTCTGCATATATATTAAATAAGCAAGGTGACAGTATACATCCTTGTCGTACTCCTTTTCCTATGCTGAACCAATCAGTTGTTCCATATCCGGTTCTAACTGTTGCTTCTTGACCCTTATACAGGTTTCTCAAGAGACATGTGAGGTGGTCTGGTACTCCCATCTCTTTAAGGACCTGCCATAGTTTGTTGTGATCCACACAGTCAAAGGCTTTAGCATAGTCAATGAAGCAGAAGTAGATATTTTTCTGGTACTCTCTTGCTTTTTCCATAATCCAGCGAATGTTGGCAATATGATCTCTCGTTCCTCTACCTCTTCGAAACCCAGCTTGTACTTCTGGTAGTTCTCTATCCACGTACTGTTGAAGCCTAGCTTGTAGGATCTTGAGCATGACCTTGCTAGCGTGTGATATGAGTGCAATTGTGCGATAGTTTGAACATTCCTTGGCATTGCCCTTCTTTGGGATTGGAATGTATACTGATCTTTTCCAATCCTGTGGCCACTGTTGCGTTTTCCAAATTTGCTGGCAAATGGAGTGCAGCACTTTAACAGCATCATCTTCTAAGACTTTGAATAGTTCAGCTGGAATACCATCACCTCCACTAGCTTTGTTGTTAGTAATGCTTTCTAAGGCCCATTTAACTTCACATTCCAGGATGTCTGGCTCGAGGTCAGTGATTATACCGTCGTGGTTGTCAAGGACATCGAGGTCTTTCTTGTATAGTTCTTCTGTGTATTCTTGCCATCTTTTCCTAATCTCTTCTGCTTCTGTTAGGTCCCTACCGTTTTTGTCCTTTATCATGGCCAGCTTTGCATGGAACGTTCCCTTGATTTCTCCAATTTTCTTGAAGAGATCTCTAGTCGTTCCCATTCTATTGTTTTCTTCTATTACTTTGCATTGTTCATTCAGGAAGGCCTCCTTATCCTTCCTTGCTGTTCTCTGGAAATCTGCATTCAGTTGGGTAAATCTTTCCTTTTCGCCTTTGCCTTTCACTTTCCTTCTTTCTGACCGGTTGTGCTGAACATGCCGAGCAGGGCCACTTGGAACAGGGCCCAGCCCTACTTTGACACTGTCTAACCATCTCATCCTTTGCCGTCCCCGTCTTCTTTGAGGTTCGCCATTGCTTTCCTC